CATCCATTTCTCTCGGCATGCCTTTTCCTTAAATCTCTTTCTCTTGATGTCTGGGCATCTTTTTCTTGACGTCTCTCTTTCATTCTCTTTCCCTTGGCATGTCTTTATCTTGAGGTGTCTTGTCCTCTCGGCATGTCTCTTTCCTGACATCCGTTTCTCTCGGCATGCCTTTTCCTTGAAATCTCTTTCTCTTGAAGTCTTAGCATCTTTTTCTTGTCGCCTCTCTTTCCCTTGGCATGTCTTTTTCTTGAAGTCTCTTTTTCTCTCGGCATGTCTCTTTTCTGACATCCGTTTCTCTCAGCATGCCTTTTCCTTGAAATCCCTTTCTCTTGAAGTCTTGGCATCTTTTTCTTGACGTCTCTCTTTCATTCTCTTCCCTTGGCATGTCTTTTTCTTGAGGTCTCTTATTCTCTCGGCATGTCTCTTTCCTGACATCCGTTTCTCTCGGCATGCCTGTTCCTTAAAATCTCTTTCTCTTGAAGTCTTGGCATCTTTTTCTTGACGTCTCTCTTTCATTCTCTTTCCCTTGGCATGAATTTTTCTTGAGGTCTTTTTTTCTCTCGGCATGTCTCTTTCCTGACATCCGTTTCTCTCGGCATGCCTTTTCATTGAAATCCCTTTCTCTTGAAGTCTTGGCATCTTTTTTCTTGACGTCTCTCTTTCCCTTGGCATGTCTTTTCCTTGAAGTCTTTTTTTCTCTCGGCATGTCTCTGTCCTGACATCCGTTTCTCTCGGCATGCATTTTCCTTGAAATCTCTCTCTTGAAGTCTGGGCATCTTTTTCTTGACGTCTCTCTTTCCCTTGGCATGTCTTTTCTTGAGGTTTCTTTTTCTCTCGGCGTGTCTCTTTCCTGACATGCATTTCTCTCGGCATGCCTTTTTATTGAAAGCTCTTTCTCTTGAAGTCTGGTCATCTTTTTCTTGACGTCTCTTTTTCCCTTGGCATGTCTTTATCTTGAGGTGTCTTGTCCTCTCGGCATGTCTCTTTCCTGACATCCGTTTCTCTCGGCATGCCTTTTCCTTGAATCTCTTTCTCTTGAAGTCTTGGCATCTTTTTCTTGGCTTTCTCTGTCCCTTGGCATGTCTTTTTCTTGAGGTCTCTTATTCTCCCGGCATGTTTCTTTCCTGACATCCATTTCTCTCGGCATGCCTTTTCCTTGAAATCGCTTTCTCTTGAAGTCTTGGCATCTTTTTCTTGACGTATCTCTTTCATTCTCTTTCCTTTGGCATGTCTTTTTCTTGAGGCCTCTTATTCTCTCGGCATGTCTCTTTCCTGACATCCGTTTCTCTCGGCATGCCTTTCCCTTGAAATCTCTTTCTCTTGAAGTCTTGGTATCTTTTTCTTGACGTCTCTCTTTCATTCTCTTTCCCTTGGCATGTCTTTTTCTTGAGGTCTCTTTTTCTCTCGGCGTGTCTCTTTCCTGATATCTGTTTCTCTCCGCATGCCTTTTCCTTGAAATCTCTTTCTCTTGAAGTCTTGGCATCTTTTTCTTGACATCTCTCTCTCCCTTGGCATGTCTTTATCTTGAGGTCTCTTTCACTCTCGGAATGGCGCTTTCCTGACATCCGTTTCTCTCCGTTTCTCTCGGAATGCCTTTTCCTTGAAAATCTTTTTCTTGAAGTCTTGGCATCTTTTTTCTTGACGTATCTCTCTCCCTTAACATGTCTTTTTCTTGAGGTCTCTTTTTCTCTTGGCATGTCCCTTTTCTCTCTCGGCATGCTTTTTCCTTGAAATCTCTTTTTCTTGAAGTCTTGGCATCTTTTTTTCTTGAAGTCTCTCTTTCTCTTGGCATGTCTTTTTCTTGAGGTCTCTTTTTCTCTCGGCATGTCTCTTTCCTGACATCCGTTTCTCTCGGCCTACCTTGTCCTTAAAATCTCTTTCTCTTGAAGTCTTGGCATCTTTTTCTTGACATCTCAATCTCTCTCTCTCTCTTGGCATGTCTTTTTCTTGAGGTCTCTTTTTCTCTCGGCATGTCTCTTGAAGTCTTGGCATCTTGTTCTTGACGTCTCTCTGTCCCTTGGCATGTATTTTTCTTGAGGGCTCTTATTCTCTCGGCATGTCTCTTTCCTGACATCCGTTTCTCTCGGCATGCCTTTTCATTGAAATCCCTTTCTCTTGAAGTCTTGGCATCTTTTTTCTTGACGTCTCTCTTTCCCTTGGCATATTTTTTTCTTGAGGTCTCTTTTTCTCTCGACATGTCTCTTTCCTGACATCCGTGTCTCTCGGCATGCCTTTTCCTTGAAATCTCTTTCTCTTGAAGTCTTGGCATCTTTTTTCTTGACGTATCTCTTTCCCTTGGCATGTCTTTTTCTTGAGGTCTATTTTTCTCTCGGCATGTCTCTTTCCTGGCATCCATTTCTCTCGGCATGCCTTTTCCTTGAAATCTCTTTCTCTTGAAGTCTTGGAATCTTTTTCTTGACGTCTCTCTTTCTCATGGCATGTCTTTTACCTGACGTCTCTCTTTCTCTTGGCATGTTTTTTTTTCAGGCGTCTTTTTCTCTCGGAATGTCGCTTTCCTGACATCGGTCTTTTTGCCTCTGTGAAATCTCTCTCTCTCTCTCTCGGCGTGTCTCTTTTTTAAACCTCCCTTTCTTTCGGCATGTGTTTTTCTTGACATCTTTCTCTCGGCATGTTTTTTCTTCACAACTCTTTCTCTCGGCATTTCCTTTTCTTGGCATCTCTTTTTCTTGATATGCCTTTTTCTTGACATCTCTTTCTCTTGATACTTCTTTCGCCTGAGCCCTCTTTTTCTTGGCCGTGCCATGTGCTTTTCTTGCCGCTTTGTCTATAGCCGTCTTGGCACAGAAATTCTCTAGCACAATGTAAGCGCCGGATTGCAGCAGGACACCTGCATACTTCAAGCATCATTTCGACGCAGCAAGTGGACAGCGAGCGGCAACCGCAAACGGCAATGCCCACCTTGACACAGTAGGTCAATTGTGGAAGACGCATGGACTTGAGAAACATGAAGGCACAAGAGCACAGATGTCAACTAAAGTCACTTCCACCCGGCAGTTTCCGTGCACAAAGTGACCATGCACTTGCCAAACACAAGGGCTTCAGATGGCATTGCAGTAGTAAAATGTAGTAAATCTTGACGGCAAGCTGGCCTAACACTGCACTTGCAGCTCGAGATCGTTTTTACATCAATCCGTTGAGGCCAACAAGCGGCGCAAGCGACGAGACGCATTTGCCTATCAAATCTCACAATCACGCAGCACTTCCGCTGCGCAGAGCCCGCTATGGAGACGTTCGGAACTTAGGAACTTATAAGTTCGAAATAAGTTCGACGCTATGTAAGGGTTTTAGTAGGGCTCAGAAGCTAAGTTCAAGATAAGTTCATTGAAATTTTTGATAACTTGTAAGGAACTTAGGAACTTATGTTGCATGACATCAAAAAAACCTAAAAGGAACTTAGGAACTTATGAAATCATTGTTTTTTAACATATGACGTGAAACTTGTTAAAAAATGATATAAAAAACAACATTTGATGTTGTTGCTGATGGTTAAAAAACGATGTTTTTGTAGTTTTTGGCTCAAGTGTGCTAAAATCATCATAGGAGATGGCTCAAAAGTTGAAGAAAAACATAGAGACTGCTCAAATTTTCTTGGCAGGCTTGCAGACGCTCTCGATTTTTCAGGAGATGCGCCTGAAACAAGTTATGGCTTTGGAGGTTCAAATTTCAAAAGCAGCTCAGCTTTCTACATCAGATGCGGCCAGCCTCTTGAGCCTTTAGAGGATATAATCTTTGGGGATATCAGGCACCGCGCTTGAAAGAAGCTGTGGCCGCGAAGGTCAGATTAAAAGATTTCGTTGGAGCAAGTTGGGTGTATGATGAATTGCGTGGCTCGAGCGCAGAGTCAGCAAGTCAAGCGCGAGAATTTTGATTGGAATACTGGAAGGATGACGAGGTTCGTCCGCCAGCTACAGTGACTAATGCGCTCGCGGGAGAAACTGAAGAGGTCTACGCAGTAGCGGCAACCCTGGCTGCGCTGCGCGACAAGACAAATTGCAAGGTGGCGGAGCCAGGAGAAGTGGAAGAAGAGCCACGGATGCAGGTCTGCGTCGACCAGCTGCAAGACGAAGATCTTCCATGACGGATGCGGGGCCCGCGGGGCCCGCGCCGCTGGGGACTTCAGACGGGGAAAAGGAACTTGAAGCTTATAGCAGCTGTGTAAGACCAAGCGACAGAAAAAAAAGCTGTGGTTCTTCCAATAAAGAATTTGGAGATTACGGCAATAGGTCGTCTATGTCTAAGGGACAGGAAGATGAGGAGCCTGCGTTGCCGTCTATAAGGGACGGAACGGGGTAAGGAAAAGCTCTGTCCAAGGTGTTGACACCCACGTCTCTGCGCGACTGGGGTCACGCGTGGCAGAGGGAAAGCTTACGAAGAGGTCTGCTTCGAAGCAACAACCACCTTGCGGGTCTGTGATGGATTCCTCGCACATGCGGCGGGAGCCACACAGCGCCGGTGCGGCGAGTCAATCTTCGGTGGTCTCTGAGCTGCAAAGGCAGGGCTCAGAGGCGCCCAAGACGTCCAGACATGGAAAGAAAATGAAACATCTGGTTGCCAAGAAGGCGGCTCGAAGGCCCATGGGAACAATGGCAAGGTAGACGCCGAGCGGGTTTGCCTATCGTGACCGAACAGATTCGCGATGGGTGCTGTGCGCTGTGCGCGTCGAGGACGTGCATATGGCACGGGAAGTTGTTGGGTGAAGCGTGGCTTTATCGAATGAGTTTCACTTGAGGAGTAAATTGGATACAACGTTTTTTGGGAAAAAACAGGATTCAATGCTGGTTCGTGAAGAATGGAAATCTTTTGTTTAAATCAAGCGTCAAATGCATAATATATAAATATGTGTATATATAAAAGTGAAAAATGCATAAATGAATTTACACACATATATGTATAAATATAAAAGCTGAGATCCGTGCCATATATACTGCTGCCATTTGAAGCTCAAAGCCGGTGGCACTATATATAGCGGTGCTGCCGCAATGCCGAACGGGTGGGCTTCCAAGGAAGACGGCTGCTCTGAGAGCGAGTCTGGCACCACTGGCACCGAACATAGTTCTAGTGAAGCGTCAGTGTCAGTGGAAGAGGTGCCCGCGGCTCCGGCAGCACCTACCGCAGTGCCGGAGCCAAAAAACTCACCACCAGCAGCAAGCCCTGACCGCAGAGAACGCGGCAGGGATGCCCGACGCTCTGAGCGTCATGGCAGAGATAAGGGCAAAGGATCGAAAGGTCGTGGGAAGAGCAATGCCTCCAAGTGCCCCCACTGCTGGAAAAAAGTGAAAGGTGGTGCCGCGGCTCTTCAGCAGCATACCTGGTGGAATGAAACTTGCTTGGCGTGGCAATTCTTTCGCCAAGGGTATTCCTGGGCCAAGTCGAAAGAAATGGCTGAAAGGCTGAAAGAAGACCGTATGGTGGAAGGTGGGCCATCAGATGATGATGGCCCAAACAGCGCCAATCCTCCTCCGCGGCCGGATAAGTCATGGGTGCCTACTCGTAGGTCACCACCACGCCGCAAGGAGAAAAAAGAGAAGAAGCACAAAGAGCCCAAGATGTGGAAGGTAAGGAAGAATGAAAAGAAGAAGCGCAAGAAGAACAAAAAGAGCAGCCGCTCACCGAGCCCAGTCCGTGAGAGGAAGAAGCGTCCGCCAAGCTCTTCCTCATCGGGTGGTGGGAAGAAAGGCCGTGAAGGTCGAGCAAAGAAGGAAAAGCCTCGCACCTTGGTGATTCGTTTGTAGACGGAGACCAGGTGAACGGTTTAATGGCATTCCTACGAAGGTCATTGTCTGAAAGGCATGGGCCCAGACACTGGCCTGGGATCGGGAATGCGTGGCGCAAACATGAGTCAGCTGACAAGGCTTGGTCGATGGCCTGCGTTGCAGTTTTCTTTTATGGGATCTATATATAGCCCCGTATAGAATGAAATAAACACCTCTAAAACCTATATCTAAAAAAAGATGAAGTGCGACGGATATAGAGCTGGCAAGTGATGCGTGTATATAGATGTTTGAGTGAAGCAAAAAAAAACTATATCTTTTCAAAGGGGATAGATATATGGTTGTTTTGAACAATTTGCTTCACTCCTCAGGCAAGTACAGAGGCACTCACGTCACTACCATACATGCGCAGGCAGAAAAGATTGCTTGTAAATCTGGGGCAGCTGAATGTTTATCCCTGGTCTGACTTTTGCTTTCCGCAGTGTTTTGGCTCACTCAGCCATCATGGAGGTAAGGGCACTTGGCGGAGATGACTTTGGCATTTCTCCGGAGGGATTGCAGGCTGTTGCGGAAGCAATGGCAAAGGTCTCTGCTGATAGCGAGGAGCATCACAGTGACAGTGACATTTGGAATGGTGTGAAAGAAATGCTATACCACACTGCGGCGTTTGTGGATGCAGCCGGTACTGACAAAGATGCTGTGGCTGCGTATTGCTTCCGCTCACTGCTGAAGGCCACGTCAACTTACAACGACGAGCAAACGCCAAAGCTGCTGCAGCATCCAAAGTATGCAGACCAGCTTCTAATTCAATGCTGGGTTCCGGCTTTTGGAGATTCCTGGCAGCGTAGTCTCCGGTGGGCGTACGCATTGGCCACAGAGTTGCGCTATGCTCGCAAGTATTTGAGAGTACTGGTCTGGCTCTTGTCCCGGGCGCCGGGCAGGACTAGGGAGAGCACTTGGGCCAAACTCAGCTACAACTGGCTACTTCAGGCAGAAACGGCCATGTTGCAAAAGCGACAAAATGGCTTGACCGCGTCTTGACCGCGTTTGACCGCGTTTGACCGCGGCTCCAGTGGGCTGACCGCGGTGACCGCGTGACCGCAGCAGAAAACATAGCTAAGCGCTATGATTGGCCATAACCGCGTGACCGCGGGGTGCCTCTATAGCCTCATGACCGTGTGACCGCGTGACCGCGGGGTCCTCGATTGATTGGAAAACAGCAAACGCACCTGACCGCGGACACACTTGCCCGCGACCTAAAAGTTGACTTTTGCTGAAGGGCCTTGACCGCGGGATCTACCTCAAAAGTCATGTTTTTTGCATATATCTCATTTTGTATTCCTCTTTTTTCCATAAATTATGCATGCATCCATTCTGCAGCCCTTTTCTGTTCTAGCGGTTCCAACAAATCTGTTCACTTGTTACACGCATGGCGTCCGTGGACTCGCAGGTAACTCAGCCGGAGACGCCAGAACAGATGAAGTGCTGGTTGTGCGCACAGTCCTTTGACGCAGGGCAAGGACGACTGCACGGAAAGAAATTTCCGTGCGGCCTGTGCTCGAATGCGCACCGCACGATGAGACGCAACCTGGGAGGCTATCCGGAAGAGATGCAAAACTTTACTCCAGAAGAAATCTCAGATTTTTTCCGGACTTTGCACTCTAAGAAGCCAGCCGGTGGCGGCCTCAACTGGCAGACCATGAAGGCGGTGATGTGCACCAACATCGCCACCCGACAGATCGAACAGGCGAAAGACAAGGTGAAAGGTGAATGGCTGCCAGCATCCGTGTGGGAAACGCGTGGGTGGACGAAGGAGACCATTGAGCGCCAGGATAACAGATGGAGTAACGAATACAACGCGCAAGTCTACAGGATTCGTATCACTTCTGAGACCTGGGCGCAAATCCATGAGAGAATCACTGAGTCCCTGCTGCGGCAGGAACGCGACGCTACGAAGAAGCGTGGCAAGGAGGCAGAGGACCTGGACGTGCCCATGGCTTCGGTCCCAAAAGACGATAAGGACAAGAAGGGGCAGGTCGCTGCTGCGAAGAAGCAAGAGCGTGAGAATGAGAAGATCCACGCGCTTGCTGCCAGAGCAGTTGGCGCCTGGACCAAGATCTTGGGACAATGTGAGAAGATGGCTGATAAAGTGCACAGTGCCGGAGCAATGCCGGCAGAGACCAAGCAGACGTATGATGAACTCACCGCCAAGCTGCAGAAGAACATGACTGCTGCCCGTCAAGCCATCAATAGCTTTGAACAGAATAAAGGCAAGCCGGTGGAGGATATGGCAGCCCTGGCAGAGCTGCCATTCCAATCTGCTGACGTCAAGACTGTGACGCAGCAGTCCGGCGTGATCTTGAAAGAGGTTCGCAAGGCATTTCCGAAGGCTGCCCCCAAGCGCAAAGCGCAGGAAGTGCCGGCTAACCAGGAAGCGCAGCCCAAGCGCAGGCGCACTGGCAAGTCGAACCCGTAGATTTCTTATGGTCAAAATTGACCTTGAGTTTCCGCACAGTGTGAAAGCATCGTGCGCAAAATAATCTGTGTATAGCGGTTGTCGTGTCTCACCGCGCTCACCGCTACAGGGGAACTTGCACCGAACAAAGGATGGGTCGAGAAAAAAGTTTGCCTTGTGTCTCACAGATCCTTTGCATTAACAATGTAAATGCATATTATTTTATATTACAGCTATATATACATCCCTCTTATATATCTTATACAATTGCCAACCACATGAGATCGCCGCTATATAGCTGGTTCAAGCTCCTCCTCGGTCGCTTTCTTTCCCTGTTTGGTTTTGCCTGCGTGACGTCATGGTCCTGACGGTGGGGAAATGGAATCACCAAGGTGCAAGCAGGCACAGCGAGTGGTTGCTGACGGACTCCGAGACCAAAGCCTGTTACTTCATCAGAAGAACGAAGGCCGGCAGGCTGGCATGCGGAGCGCAGGGAACATTTCAGTCGCGAGACAATTGGCTCCGGCTGGAGGATTTCGCTTGTGCATCCGACAACCACATTACAAGAAGAAACCTCACATTCCACCAGCTCGGTGGCTATGGGGCTTCGGATCAGTGGGTGGAGCATGGTTCTGCCACCAGGCGAATCCTTTTCGTCGGTTGGATAGACCTCCACCTTATGAGGATCTTTTGGTCTCCTACGGTGCACAACTTCAGCAGACCGCAGTTCCAGATGGTGCAAAGTCAGTTTGTGGCCGAGGTGCTTAGATGGCTACATCCCAACTTTGAGATGGAGGAGCGTGCTGCTGACGGAACTCACGACGATGAGTGGCACATTGTCAATGGGTAGATTTAAGACAACTGTCCATGCTAGAAGCCACATCTTGGCTGGGCAACCTCTTTAGAAGAGATGCTACCCAGAACCGTTCAGGGGCCCCGGAATCGCACTTTTTCACCTGCCAAATGGCATCGGTGAGTGCGGCTTTACCAGCTTTGAAATACATGAGAAAAATGAAAGCGCCATTCACTGAAGTTCGCGGCTCTTTTACCTTTAAAAATTGGATAGATCAATGTTGCTTGACAATACCTTTAGCAAGCTGTTCTTCTTTTAATGTTCTGCAGGGCATCCCTATAATTTTGAAAGTTCTATTCCGGGGTTGAGAAACGCGGATCTCACGATGACCTCACGGAAATGCCACGTCAAGTTCCATGCGGTAAGTAAGAAAAACACAAATCGAACCATCTGAAATCACCAATGCCGCTATATTTAAACTGGTTCAAGCTCCTCCTTGGCCGGAATCAGTTCCTCTTGTAAAAAGTGTTGCCTACTGTGCTTGCCATCAGAATTCTCTGCCGATGGCGTGATCGAATCAGCTAGACCTAAGAAGAACGAAGAGTGGATGGTTGCCACCAGCTGAAGGATTTCGCCTCCGCATCAAATCCCCACATAACAAGAAGAAACCAGGCATTCCACCACTCGGTGGCCCTGGCACTTGGGAAAGTAGGCGCAGTCTGGTTCGGCGACAACCTTCTTAGCGGTTGCAAATATCTATCTATCTTAACACAATCTCTCACAATGGCAGCGTCTGGCGCATGCTGGCAAATTACCACAGCGCGAGCTGTCCCAGACGTGCGTGCTACAAAAAAAGTTCTTGAAGAAAATGCGGACTACGCAGGGAAAGCTGATCAAATCATGGTTGCATTCCCACTGCTGGTGCAATTCCTTTTATGAAACATTGGTGACCCACATGATCTCACGAGTACAATATGGTCGCTCAAAGCCAATCGACCAGTGGCTCGTGGATCGTGTTCCAAAAAATTGTGGGACTAACATGAGGTCAGCTCACACATGAAAAATGAAAAAGGAATGACCTTTACTACAAAACAGTTCCTCATTCTATCGCGCATAATGGCGGTGCAAATCCTTTGCTGCGCTCGTGCTGGTGATGGCAAGTATCTTGCATGTTTTCGACGTGCAACGAAACCGACCAAACACGCAACCCAGCTGCCAGCATTTGGATCAAAACCAATGAAGAAATTCGTGTCTTACCAGTGAAAACCTTGCAAAGTCAAGATGTTTTCCTATTCTGCTACCAAAAAGTGGATCAAAACCTACAATTTACGTTCATTGCGCGAAAAAAAAAGATACCAAAAACAGCAAAAAATTCATCTTCATGAAAAGTTGCTCAAAAAACAGCTCTTGAACTTAATTGAACTTAGCATCATCATAACATAGGCTAAGTTAAGTTCGATATAACTAACTTATAAGTTCCTAAGTTCCAAACGTCTCCATAGTGGCAGAGTTGCAAGTGGTGATGATGTGAGCTGGTGATGATGTGTGTCGGAAATCATTTGTATGTCGAATTTTCTGTGATGTTAAATCCTTTGATATTGTACCAGGGCTTTTTTTAAATTGCATTCCCTTGTCAAAGCATGCCGCTTCCAGCTGGATTCACATCAGCTAGTACCCAGCCGCAGGGGCCATTTCCACAGTTCCAGTGGGACAAGAGTCCAAGCTTCAGGAGAAGAATCCATCCCAGCAAGTAGTAAATTACGTTAAGGTATTCTATTCTATAAATTGCGATGCTAATGTTCGATTGTACACGATTAATATTCCTATTTCATTGTACAGTACTTAGTGCGTCTCACATGTGAAACCTTAATCCGCTTGCCCTTCAGTACCCCCCACGGGCCCAACATCAATGCCCAGATTACAAGAAAGCTGGAAAACTCTGTCAACGGCGTCATCCAGCAATTGGTAGCTACAGCCATATGGGATTGGCTGATTGTACATTGTGAATATTTGGTGTAGCAAATGTGCCATGTACCAAGAGAAATGCCAAATGGTGCTCGATTGCGACTCTGCGGGTCTGACTCGTCTGACGCTCATCCTCTTCCCGTCGGCGGGCTTAATGCGTAAGCGGCACGAACTCTTGCTACTTCAGAAACTTCAGAATCTCTTTGAAATGACTGAAGCAAACCATGCATCGCAACTTGTCACATCTCGAGTCTTCGAACTCCTCTGCTGCGCGTTTCTCCTCTCTTTCACGCGTCAAACGATGTCAAACGCTCTTGTCCTTGGCACAAAGATCAAAATCTGCACAAGAAATGACAAGATCGGCGAACGATAGCAAGATATAGCAATCAATGATAATCAATGGTAAGTGCTACTCCTTCTTTCACGAGCAGTCACGAGCACTGTTTCCTATCAATAGCTGCATCTGCCTTCACACATGGAAGGGCTTGTTTCCAGCCTCCTGCTCGTTAAAATGCAAAAGTTTCACTTCGTCAGGCTTTTACCGCGGGTATCCTGGCTTTGCTCTTCGCATTCTTGCCTTAATTATCAGAAGATTGTGAATTGGACGCATTTCTGCAACAACCATAGTAGGCAGAGTGGTGCTTGAAGAAAACTTGGCAATGAGCAAACGACGCATAAACGCAATTCAACCTAAAATCTTATTACAACCTGTTAGAATCGACACGAATCTGCCCAATGTCTCTTTGGCCTTTTGATTACTCTTGGACATTGATATATTTCACACGCAAAGGCCACGGCATGGAGATTAGTTGTCCAATTCTGATCGTATACGTTTGCGTACCTATCGTGCCCCAACATGTGGTGGTGGTGACACATCATGGCCACAAATTTTCCGGCAGAACTGCAAGGCAGATAAGGCAGGATCAAATTGAGTATGAAAATCTATGGCCAAATTTTGGTAGATAAGATTTTGCATGTCATCAAGTCATCGCTTGTCAAAAAAATGTGGCACGCCAAGGCGTCATTCAACGCTTAGCAAACCGCTGGTACCAGTGTTTAGCCTTGTGGCCATGACATGTCGCCTTTCAAATCTCACGTGTCCTGCAACGTACGAATACTGTTTGCATCCAATTGCACACGCAACCGTGCCCCAGTGCTGTGGCATACATACTGTCTCAAACTGCAACAAAGTCAGAAAACAAACCAAGTTCATTCATACCACTTTGTTACCACATTCAGACACCACCTGAGTTTCTCACGTTCAGTCTGTTCCCGCGCTTCGCGCTCAGCTTGGTGACCTGCAAATGTGTTGCAACTGTCAATGGAAAAGGAGACAACTAAAGCTACTGAAGCCAGCACAGCTTGGTTTCAAGGACGTGCAACACCTGGCACAGCTGTGCACGACTATACACTTTCGGATTGGATTGGACAGATTTACATTTTAACTTCTGACTTGCCCTACATGCGAGGTGTGAAAGCGCATTACACTGTTACACGTCGTAAGATTGCCTTGATGTGCTTCGTGATTGCTCCTATTATTTCTTGACCAGTCTTTGAAAAAAGCGGGCCTAATTGGTCAAGCCGACTGAACGCTTTCAGGGCCAAGCGGTGGACAAAAGAATGCAAAAGGTAGGAGATGCTAAGAACATCGAAAAACCGGACTTCTGCTGCCATGTGGCAGTGCATTGCCAGACATAAGATTGCAAAGTAGACCGGCAATGCCCAAGAAGAACTAGAAAATAAAACGTAAGCAGATGTAAGGAGAATGTCTACAAGTAAACACACATAGTTAATCTCGAAAAAACATGTCCCGGCAATAGGCACCAAACAGTGTTACAGAGAACATGACGAAGAGATGCCAGGGTAGACCCTGCAAGTTCCCTTTGTGAAGATAGCAGTGAAAGATCGTGCGCAAGATCTCCTCGGCAGGATTTCTGCAGAAGATGCTGTGCAAGATCCCTTTGTAAGGACATCTTCTACAGCCTGAGCAAGAGACCCTGGTTCCCTTCGCCACGATCTTTGTGGTAAGTCTCTGCCAACGATCTCTGTACAAGGTCTCTAAACAGCATCTCTTGGTAAGATCTCTGAAGGACATCTCTATACAAAATCCCTGTCAAGGTCTCTACGGGCAAAATCGCTGTAGAAGATCTCTGGCACAAACTCTTTGAAAGAGATCCCATAGCAAGATCTCTCTACGCGATCTCTGAACAGGATCGGTGCACAAGGTCTCTATAGGAGATCCTTTAAAGATCTCTGTCAGAGACCTCGTCAAGATATCTGCGCAAACCCCCAAAAAGAATCTCCATGTCAAGAGACCTCCGACAGCACCTCTTATTTCGACCCGCGCCTGTCAACCAGCGGGGGTTAAACGCACCCCCAAAACCGGTGAAATATCCCCCCTAAATGGCCCATCGGCGAAAAGGGAAGCGATCACCCAATCAGGGAGAGGGGGGCCAGATGGGGCAAGAGGGTGCTGGCATCACTGCTAACTCCAAGCAATGCTGCTCTACTTAGGTCACCGCTGGCATGTCTTACATTAATATAAAACATGGACTATTGGGAATTCAATAATGTTTAAACTGCTTACTAGGAATAAACATATATCCGTTTTTGAGATATTGGGATATTTATTTCTGCATTTTTGACGAATAAACAAGCACGTTTCATGACCATATGAAAAATGAAGAAAAATTCTACATTTGTGCTAAATGTCAAAAAACACTCAGAATAAAACAACATGTTTTTTACATTTCGGATTTTCAAATAGACTTGACCGTAGGAATAGATTTAAGCAATTTTAACAAAATAATATATGGCAAATTGCTGAAATTTGCTCAAAAGTTCTGGCTTAAACTTAAGCGCTCTTTATGCTTTGAAATTTTGAATGACAGATAAATATTTCGGAATGAATCACACAATTTGCTAATTACTATACTTCAAACTGGTCTGTCCTTCTGGGTTTCCCCACGTCTCTCCTCTGCCAACCTCTCCCGCTGCGCCCGCTCCACCCGGGCATCCTCGTCCTGAACGTGTAACGACTTTCGCGAAGAACGAAACGGGGAAAAAACAATAACAACGATCAAGCAGGAAAAGGTGGAAACCTATGGAAAAAGATGGAAAGGATCATGGTTATCAAATAATTTGGAGGTTTTTTCCATTACTTTGTGCTCGGAAAGAAACAGAAGGACACATGACAAACATGTTGTTGCAATACGCCATGTAAGTATGCCATATTCCATGCGAACACATGTGACCGCATGAGAACACTAATCATGGTCATGGTGGTTGTGATTGCACTCATTATCTGAAGTCTGTTAAATTTCAACCATCCATATAGTGTTTCAAGAAGTACGTTGAAGCCATTGATGGAGTGTCAGAAACAGTGCCCTTTGAATTCAACTGCTTAAATTCAACTGCTTAAATTCAACTGCGATGAGGTTATAGATTGAATTCAATAAATACATAAAGGTAGTTAACCAACAACAGTCAGTGAACATCTAAAATGATTCATGTTGATCTTTTTGCTTTCGTTTCAAACCGTGTAAGAATTTGCATTCCGCAATGTCATTCTATAGCATTTGAAAACCAATCTTCGGAGCTGAGCGAGTTTCCTGATATCTGTTGTGGTTTCTTTGTGGTTTAGTTGAGCAGTTTCATAATGTTTCATGGGCATTTCATGCGTTCGTTGCTGGTGTTTCGTTGTCTTCATTGGCCTTCGCTCTGAGGGCTCCGCCTTCCGCCAGGATTCTGCATTCTCGCGGTTGGCCGGTGGGCGGCGCCAGCTGCCTGGCACATCTTCGTGAAGATCTTCACGTGAAAATCCCGACGCAAATCCCACGATATCCCGGCATCTTCGGACACCTCTGCAACTTTTCCAATATGTTTCAATCTTATGTTTTTCCCCAACAGCGTAAGCTTGGGGTCTTCAGCCATAGTAAAGGTTCCGGAGCAAGCCGGAGCAGCCAAATCCGCACAGCGCAAGGTTGGGAACCGGGTTCCCAGGAAGGGTTTCCTTTTCCAAGAGAGTCCCTCGGAGCAGCCAAATCCGCACGGCTTAAGGTTAGGAACCGGTCGCAGGAAGAGGTTCCCAAGCAAGGTTCCAGGAACAGGTTCCCAAGCAAGGTTCCCAAGCAGGTTCCCAAGCAAGGTTCCCAGGCAAGGTTACCAGGAACAGATTCCCAAGGAAGGGTTGCCAGCAAGAGGTTCCCAAGCAGGCTTCCCAGGAAAAGAGGTTACCAAGAGGAAGGTTTTCAGGAAGAGGTTCCCATACAAGGTTCCCAAGAACAGGTTCACAAGTAAGGTTCCCAAGCACGTTCACAAGCAAGGGTTCCCCAGGCAAGGATTCCCAGCAAGAGGTTCCCAAGCAAGGGTTCCCAGGAAGAGTTTCCAAAGCAAGGTTCTCAGGAAGAGGTTCCCAAGCAAGGTTCCCAAGGACAGGTTTGCAAGCAAGCTTCGCAAGAACAGGTTCCCAAGCAACGGTTCGAATAACAAGTCTTGCAAGCACGGATTTCAGCAACCATTCTCAAGGTTTCCAGGAACCGTTTCCCAAGCAAGATTTCCAGGAACCCAAGCAAAACAAGGTTCCCAGAATAGGTTTTCAATCAAGTGTTTCCAAGAAAATGTTTCCAGGAAGAGGTGTCCAAGCAAGGTTCCCAAGCAAGATTTCCAGGAACATGTTTTTCCAAGCAAAACAAGGTTCCCAGAACAGGTTGCCAAACAAGTGTTTCCAGGAAGAGGTTTCCAGGAAGAGGTGTCCAAGCAAGGTTCCCAGCAGGCTGGTTCCCAAGCAATGTTTTCAGGAAGAGGTTCCCACGCAAGGTTCCCAGCCACAGGTCCCCAGGAACAGGTGCCCATACAAGGTTCCCAAGAACAGGTTCACAAGTAAGGTTCCCAAGCACGTTCACAAGCAAGGTTCCCAGGAAGAGGTTCCCAAGCAAGGTTCCCAGCAACAGGTTCCCAGGAACAGGTTCCCAAACAAGTTTCCCAAGAACAGGTTCACAAGTAAGGTTCCCGGAAAGAGTTCCCAGGCAATTTTCCAGGAAAAGGTTCCCAAGCAAGGTTCCCAGGAACAGCTTCTCAAGCAAGGTTGCTAGGAAGAGGTGCTCAAGCAAGGTTCCCAGGAATAGGTTCGCAAGCAAGGGCTGGAAATTTTGCTTGGGAACCAGCTCTTCCTGGGAACGCTTGCTTGAGAACCTGTTCCTGCGAGCTTTGTTCCTGCTTGGAACCTTGCTTGGAAACTGTTCCTGGGACCTTGCTTGGGAACCGTTTTTGGGAACCGTACTTGCAAGCGGTTCCTAAGAACTTAACCGTGCTTGGGAGCTTCTTGCAAGGTTCCCAAGCAAGGGTTCCAGAAACAGTTGCCAAGCAAGGTTCCCAGGAACAGGTTCCCAGGCAAGGTTCCCAGGAACAGGTTTCCAAGAAAGGTTGCAACAAAAGGCTTCCAAGAATAGGTTCGCAAGCAAGGTTCCTGGGAACAGGTTTCCAAGCAAGGTTCGCAAGACCAGGTTCCCAAGCAAGGTTCGCAAGAACAGGTTCACAAGCAAGGGCTCCAAGAACAATGCCTCAAGTTCCCAAGCAAGGGTTCCAAGAACAGGTTTCCTTGCAGGGTAGTAAGGTTACCTAGCAAGGTCCTTGGGAACAGGTTCCCAAGCAAGGTTTCCATGAACAGGTCCCCAAGCAAGGTTCCCAAGGACAGGTTTGCAAGCAAGCTTCGCAAGAACAGGTTCCCAAGCAAGGGTTCGAAGAACAGGTTCCCAAGAACAGGTTCGGATTCCAGGAACAGATTCTCTAGGAAGGTTCCGAGCAATAGGTTGCCAGCACGGTTCCCACGAACACGTTCCCAAGCATGGTTTCAGGTTGCCCATGTTCCCAGGAACAGCTTTCCAAGAACAACTTGCAAAGCGAAATTTCGAAGAACATCTGCAAGCAAGAACAGAATCCCAAGCAAGGTTCCGAAGGACAGGTTCCTAAACAAGGTTCCCAAGCAAAGCTACGAAAAACAGGTCCCGAGCAAGGTTCCAATGAACAGGTGTGAAGCAAGCAGGCAAAGTTTCCAAGAACAGGTTCCCAAGAGAGAGTTCCCAAGAACAGGTTGCCAGGCAATGCTCCCAAGAGCAGGGTCCTAAGAATAGGCTCCCAAGAACAGGTTTACAAGCAAAGCGCCCAAGAACAAGTCCCCAAGCAAGGTTCCGATAAACAAGTGTCAAGCAACGTGTCCAAGAACAATTGCCCAGGCAAGGTTCCAAAAACATTGAACAACAGAATACTGCAAAGTTTGAAGATTTGTTCTAATAACGGAACGGGGAGATTGAAGAACTAGTTTTGCTTCGAAAAATCATACGGCACTCGCACATGGATAAAAACACTAGACGACAGCGTGGCATGAAAGAAAGCAGGAGGGAGGAGACAAGAAGATACAGTAATACACAAAATAAATGATGATGGTGATGATGATAACGACAATGATGATGGCGATGACGATGACGAGGATGAATGGCGATGGAGATGATGATGAATGCTAGCTGACGCGAGTCAAATGTCATATATCCACGATTTCATGCCTTTTTTGTCCCCGCAGAGGGTTTGCTCCAGGGCTGGCACCTGAGCGACAGTCAGAATCAAAAGACATGTTTTCACACAGCGAAAAAAATACACAGAGAAGATTTTACACACAGAAGCCTTTACACAGAGAGGGATTTACACAGAGCAGCTTTTACACAGACGCTTTTGCACACAAACGCTTTTACATACAGAAGCTTTTACACAGAAAAGCCTTTTCAAAAGAAGCCTTACCGTACCCTTGCCACATGAAGCCTTTACACAGAGCAGCTTTACACACAGACGCTGTTTCACAAAGAAGTTTTTACACACAGGAACTTTAACGCGCAAATGCCCAAGCTTTTGCACACAGGAGCTTCTGCACACACACGCCTTACAAAAAGAAGCTTTTAGACACAGAAACTTTTACAGCCTTTTCACAAGAAAGCTTTTACACAGAAGCTTTTGCACAGAGATGCCTTTACAAACAGAAGCTTTTACGCACAGAAGCTTTTACTCAGAGAAGCCTTTAAACAGAGCAGCTTTTACACACACAGAAGCTTTTCACAGGGAAGATTTTGCACAGAGAAGCTTTTTCACAGACAAGCGTTTGCGGGAAGGAACTTTGAGCACAAACGGTTTTTACATACAGCAGCTTTCACACAGAGAAGCCTTTGCGCGGACCAGCTTTTACACTCAGGTTTGTTTTCACAGAGCAGCGTTTACGCGGAGCAGCTTTTACACACCGAAGCTTTGACGCAGAGAGGCCTTTACACAGAGAGGCTTTTACGCACAGAGGTTTTCACACGGAAGCTTTACACAGAGAAGCTTTTACACAGAGAAGCGTCTAAACAGAGCATCTTTTTTACACAGAATTTACACGCACAAAAGCTTTACATACACACAGAATCACACAGAGCTTTTACACACAGACGCTTGTACGCATAGAAGTTTGGTCACAGAGCTTACATTACAGACCGAAGGTTTGACGCAGAGAGGCCTTTACACAAACCAGCTTTTACACACAGACGCTTTTACACAGAGATGCACAGAGCAGCTTTTGCACACAGACGCCCCCAGGCTTTTACGCACAGAAGTTTTTATACATACGCTTTACACAGAAAAGTTTTTGCACAGAGAAGCCTACAAAGCATTTACACACACAAAAGCTTTACACACACACACAAAAGCTTCACACACACACACGCCTTTGCACACAGACGCTTTTACGCATAGAAGCTTGTTCACAGAGCAGGGTTTACACAGAGCAGCTTTTACACACCGAAGCTTTTACACAGAGAGAGGCCTTTGCACAGAGCAGCTTATACAATCTTATACGCACAGAAGCTTGGACAGGTCATTACACATAGTGGCAGTTACACAAAAGTTCTTCACACAGATGCGGCAGATGCTTCTACACACAGAAGCTTTTGAACACAGATGCCTTCCCACACAGAAGCATTTACCCAGAGACGCTTTGGCATATACACGCCTATGCACACAGAAGCTTTTAGACACAGATTGTTTTTCAGAAACTCACAGAAGCTTTGACACAAAGAAGCCTTTACACAGAGAATCTTTTACACACAGAAGCTTTTACACACAGAAGCTTTTCCACAGAAGCTTTTACACAGAGAAGCTTTTGAGCACAGGAGCTTTTACACACAGACGCCTTTACACACAGAAGCTTGTACACGGAGGCTTTTATGCACAGAAGCTTTTACACAGAGAAGCCTTTACACACAGACGCTTTCCCGCAGAAAAGCCGCTTCCACAGAGCAGCTTTTACACACTTCCAAAAATCGCAATTACGTAAAATTTTTGACGTTCGGCCATCATATCGTGCGAAAGGGTTGCATCCGGCGTTGGAAAATCGCGATTTTTGACGTTGGACAATCATTTTGCGAACAAGTTTTATTTCGCGCGAAGCGGTTGTGCCTGACCTTTCAAAATCGATAAAGTCGCAATTTTACACAAATTCTTGAACATTTGCACCTGACGTTAAAAAATCTCAGTTTTCCCACAGTTATTGCCGTTTGACTTTCTCATGCCACGCTTGCATCTGAACTTTCAAAAGCGCAATTTCACAATAGTTTTTGACGGTTGACCCTCATTTCGTGCGAAGGGGCTGCGCCGGGCCCCACCAAATTTGCATTTTGCCACATGTTTGGATGTCCGACCTGCGCGATCTCTGCAGAGGGTTGCCCGTGCCCAAAAGAAATTCACATTCCACCACATGTTTGGACGTTCGAAACACACGATCTCCGCAGACGGGTGCTGCGGGCAAAGAAGTTTCGCATTTCACCACACCACATGTTTGCCCATCCGACACGCACGATCTCCGCAGAGGGTTGCCCAAGGACAAACAAGACCCGCATTTCGCCACACGTTTGGGTGTCCGACACGCTGCAGAGGGTAACGTTTCGTAAGCCACTGCCTGGCTGTCCTTGCCGCCAGAGAGAAATAGAGGAACTGGAGAAGTCTGATTTTGCAGGAATTCAGATACAATTTGATCTCCTGGAAGTTCGCTGAACTCCTGTGTAGCAACTCCTGTGTAACAATTTCTGTGCAAATGACCTTGCAGGCAGGAGTCTTGTAGGAGTTCAAGTAGAAGTGGATCACCTGCAAGTCAACTCCTGTGTAAATGGCATTTTTCAAGTTTTGTAGGAGTTCCTGAGAAGTTGATCACCTGTAGCTGATGTAGGTGATATTGTCTATGTTGTAGATGATGAGGTTGATGTTGTAAGTGATGTAAGGTTAGATAGGTTTGAAGATGTAGGCGAAGTAGAGGATGCAGTGATGTAGATGATGATGTAGGTGATGTATGCGTTGTAGATGATGTATGTCATGTAGATGAGGCTGATGGAAAAAGATTGTGTAGGTGATGTAGATGGTGTAGGTGAGATAGATGATGATGATGATGATGATGATGATGATGACGATGATGATGATGATGGTGATGATGATGGTGATGATGGTGGTGGTGGTGATGGTGATGATGATGATGATGATGATGATGATGATGCAGGGAAGATGGTAGAGAAGATGTAGTTGATGTGGGTGATGTAGAGGATGTAGTGATGTAGATGATGATGATGTAGGTGATGTATGTGTTGTAGATAAAACATGTCATATAGATGAGGTTGATGGAAAATGTGTAGGTGGTGTAGATAATTTAGGTGAGACAGATGTAGGTGGTGATGATGATGATAATGATGATGCTGATGATGATGATGATTATGGTGTAGATGTAGATGTAGATCTAGAGAAGATGGTGTAGAAGATGGTATAGAAGATGTAGGTGGTGAAAAGGACATAAGAGATGTGGATGGTGTATGTTAGGTAGATGAAGTGAAGAGTGAGGCGGACAGCAGTTCTTTGGGGGAAAAAAACCCTTCGCACGAGCTTCGGGAATATTGGCCACAGTATTGCAAACGCTTTTGGAAAAGCGTTTTTTCATAAGGTGTTTGTGCTGTGATTGCGCCTTGCACGCCCGACCTCTAGAGTAAGAAGGGCGGGGCAATAAAGATACTTCACTCATTGCGTGTTTGGCAACTGTTTTTGTTTCTGGCTGTTGGGGATACTCTTTGGGCTTATTTCAAGATTTTGCACCTCCGTTCCACTCAGGTTTCCATTTGCTGGCTAACATGGATGATGGGGCAAGGGATTTTCCCGAGAAAAGCCGGCCGTTGCACCTTCATCTTCTCGATTGCCAGCGCCAGGGGCAGCTTTTCCTGACTGATAGGAAAACAACACATGCAAGGCATTTTCATCTGCAAGCGTTGGATATTGCCACAGCACAGGGTCATGGACCGTGACCTATCGCGTGGCAACACAAAATCCCTTGCTATTCCATTGTGTTAAACTAAGGCAGCAAAAACATATTCCGGGCTACAGGCAAATCAAATGATACTCATACTGCATGCCTCAACAAACCACGCTGCAGTACATCAAACAAACATTACGTTCACCTAATCCCTTCCCCCTATTACTAAACGTCCCCCAAATACTAAAAACTAGGGTCCATCTCCAATTTTGGAGATTTCAGATTGTCCAATTTGACTTTTAATTGATCCCCTTTAGAAAACAATTTAACAATAAAGCTGCCATTTGTGGGTTTTGCCCCCTAACAATAATAACTAGTTAACCCCGGGGTGTTTATTATTAGGGTCCGTCCGAATTTTTTAGTTTTTTATATTAGGGCTTTTAATTGCGTTATAAAGGGAAATTTACTTGAATTTGAAATCGAACAAACTAGATTTTATTATTGAGGGTTTAATTTTATCATATAATAGAGTCCGCTTCGAAATCCAATTTTTGGCTATATTTTCATTGCGTTATAAAAGGAAAGAGTTTTTTTTTATTAAGGGTTCAGTTTTATTAATAGGGTTCGCCAGGGTCCGCTTCGAAATCCAATTTTTGGCAATTCTTTAATTGCGTTATATAAGGAAATTTAATTGATTTTGAGATCGGAAAAAATAGTTTTATTATTAAGGGCTTACTTTTATCAATATGGTTTCCTAAAAATAAATACCACCCTAATGCCAAAAACTACCTGAAGTGTTTATCAATAGGGGAGGGGGGGGTTAGTATTAGGGGGAAAGGATTATATCGTTTAAGATCCCAATTGCACCTCTCCCTTTCGCTTTAAAAAAAGTAGCTCATAGATGAATCATGCATCTGAGCACCCCTCTGGTTTTGCGCCATTTGGCTGAAAGAGACTTCATGAGATGGGGTGGACCCCGAGGGCAGCGCTAAGGGTTTGTTCCCCACCGGCACACCCCATCCCCTCTCCCACCCTGGTGCAAGAGTCCGTTGTGTTTCTCTTCCTCATGGTGGATGCGGTTGGCTATGGTCCTTTGATGCTGGTCGCTGCTGTTGGTGTTTGTCTTGTGGTGCCCCAAGGCTTCTGCCCCCCGGGGTGTTTTTGTCTTTTGGCGCTCCGGGGCGCTCCGGGGCTTCTGCCCGCCCTGCGGTGTTCGTCTTCTTCCCTTCAGTGGGTGTGTTGGCGCTTGTCTTTCGGCGCTGTGGGGCTTCTGCTTTCTCTTCCTCTTGGTGGCTGCGGTTTGCATGTGTCCTATGGCCCCTCTGCGGCTTCCGCTCATGGTTGGTGTTGCTTTCTGTCTTTCTTTTTCTGGTTGTGGCTGGTGTTTGTTTTTGTTAGATGCTCTGGGGCTTCTGGGTGTCTCCGTTCCCTTTGGTGGTCGTGGTTGGTGTTTGTCTTTTCGCCCTCCGGGGCTTCCGCTCACCCTGTGGTGCTCTTCTTTCTTTTGGTTGTTGTGGCTGGTCTTGTGTGTTTGGCGCTCTGGGGCTTCTGCCCGCCCTGGGGTGTCTCGGTTTGTCTTTTGGTGCCCTGGGGCTTCTGCCCAGCCCGCGCCCATGATGTGTCTCTCTTCCCTTTGGTTGCTGCGGCCGGAATTTGTCCTATGGCCCTCTGCGTCTTCTGCTCATGGTTGCTGTTGCGTTTAGCGTTTCGGGTCTTCCTTCTTCTTCTTCTTCTTCTTCTTTGTCTTTCTCTTCTTCCTCTTCTTTGTCTTCTTCTGATCCTTCTCTTTCCTTTTCCTTTTCTTCCTTTTCTGGGCTATCTTCTTCTTTGTCTGTTTGTGCACTCTGGTCTCTTTCTGGCTTCCCTTGGCAGGTGTGTGGACTTCCCTTGTGCTTGGTTTGGTCGGCCCCTCCTGTCATCGTTTTGTTGTTGTTCTTGTTTTGTCCTTGATTAGTGTGAGGCTGGTCGTGATGATGTTTGCGGCGGTGGCGGCCGTGGTGATGGTCGGTGTTGGCTCGCCTTTGGTGTGAGGCTAGCGTTTGTTCGCTGGCGGTGGAGTGGTGGTTGGCGTTTTTTCGCCTTTGGTTTTGGTCTGGTTGATTGGTGGTGGCGTTTGCTGGCCTGTGGTCCTGGGGTGGCCTCGTGTTTGCTCTCTGGGTAGGTGGTTGGCGTTTGTTCGCCTTGGTTCGGTCGCTGCTGCAGTCTTCTAGTTGTGTGACATGGATATGCTACCTGAAATTCTTTCCCTCGACCTCTCAAGTTCGGGGAGCTGTGCGGGTTTACACTCTTCCTTCTCTGCCTGTGGGCCGGCGTGCTTCTTTGGAGGATTTCCCACGTGTCTGCCGGAGAAACACGGTGAGTTGAAAAAGTTCGTTTGTCATTTAGGTTGTCCCACTCCAGTCTGACTCGTTGGCTTCCTAGCTCTCTCAAGCGTGCTCTGTGCTGCTGAAGTCACCACGCGCCGCGCGGGTCTGCTACCACTGCTTTGGGCTGTTGGTGTGGTCCCGTTTGTAGGTGCTACCTCGCAAAATGGTCTGTCCATGTGATGAAGTTGATCGGGCTGGCTGGGAACCTCGTCTTGCATAGCGGCATGGTGTTGCCCGTGATTGCGGTGTACAGTCCCAGGTGCTTCTTCGCGGGGGTTTGATTCTTCCACCGGGCGGGTTGCTGAAGATCTGAAGGTTGGTGTTTTGGGTGTGGTCTCGACTTGTGCTTTGCTAAAGGTTGGTACCCGGTTGCGGTAGGAGATCTTAACCCGTTAGTGGTTTGTTTTGGGATTGTTCGGCTTCTTCTTATGTTTTGCTGTTTATCCTAGAAGGCCACCAGAAGCTGGCGGGGAAGGCAGCAATGACGTTTCCGGAGCCGACCCTGATATCCGCTGGTGGATGTTGTGCCTGTGGACCACAGATACTGCACCAACCAACCAACCCACATCTCAACCACCAATTACGCATTGATCACATGTCCCTTCACATCGCACATGCAGATCATGTCCCTCACAATTTCAAACCAGCAAGTTGAATTCCCTCAAAGCACCAGAGTAACATCAGACCCAAACTTGTCCATGGCGCCGCTGTTCCAACGCGTTTTGCTGCAAACCGAACTAGCACAGATGCACCAACACACCAACACCTCTTTGCGGCGCACTTCCAATGCTTTTAGCAAAAAGTGTTGCCTTCCCGTTAAGCACTGACGCACGACCTTTCCATCTAAATTCCTTTTCAATTTCTGTTGGAGGTTGCTTGGAAGCAATTCTTATCGGCAAACCAAAGATTTTAAGTCAGCTCGGCTTCAAATGCCTGAGCTCACGTTGAATTCAGTTCGTCAGTTAGAAGCAGTTCAAATTCAATTCAAAAAAAGGATGCCAGTGCAACTCTAAATCAACTGCAATTCAATTTCAGTTGAAATCCCAATCAAATCAAAACAAGTCGAAGTCAACTTTGAACCAGTCGAAGTCAATATTGAACCACCTCAAGGTTATAAAAACAAAATCCATCTACATTCCCAAACGGCCTTCCATGAATACATTTCTTGTGGTGGCTTACCGAAGACCTGGCAGCCGCTTGTCGCACCTGCATCAGCATCACGGCCATCGCCCTTGGCACGTGGACGCCAGGGCTCTTTGCCTCTAGATGCAAGATGCTGAATCTCGACCAACTGGTCACACTATATCAAACTGGCACAAACCACTATCCAAGACGCTGTTTGAGACTGATTCACATTGATTCACTGACGTAGTTTGGCCGGCACTCCCGGGCACCCCCTGGACCCGCTGCCACCGGTGCGCCTGGTGGTCGGTGATCCTCACGGTCACGGCCACCAACATCTTCAGTGCGTGGTGCCCTGCGCCAATCATCTTCATCGGCACGGCTGGCGGTGTTCTGCCTGGAGACCATAGCGGTGCCAAGATGTGCCAGGGCATGGCAACGCAGGGGCAGACGCAAACATGTGTCAAGGTCAAATGGTGCATGTTAAGCTCGGGAATAATAAACGTGATTCAGACAGACACCCGACAGAGCTCGACAGCGCTTGGGCTTGGAGGAGTGCCTGTGGGTACTGGGAGTTTTGCCCTGAGCTTACTCTGGAAAATGCGAAGCGTAAATTTCAGCGGCTTACCGCACGCTGGTCTAACATGTTTTGCAATGTCAACAAGTATACAGCCAACCCTGCAGTTTCAGGAACCAGGAGCATGTCCTGAGAGCACTAAGCCGGTTCCAAACAAATCTCAAAATAGTACCCCAAGTTCCTAAAGGTATGTGAATCATGTGAAGACATGTAAAAATTTGTAAAGGCATCAGGGCTTTCAACACCTTGAAACCAAATCCTTGTTGAACATTGAGGCCTTGCTGGCTGGCGACGAGCTCCATCCTCGAAAGTCAACCAGTCGTGACGTCGCGTGACATGATCTGCCCGTGACATTCCGTTCCAAGGGCGAAGGGCCAATGATGGGCGATGAACGGTCTCTCAGCTCGCAACATCACCGGTCTCGCCGCGCTTACGCCAGTCGTCTCGAGAGCTGGCATCAGGTAAGAGTCTGGAAGAGAATATGGAACAGGGAGTCTTACCGAATTTGCTATGTGCGAAGCAAAATGGGTGCGTAGTGTGCTTTTCCAAGCACAGCGCCGTGCCAAGTCCCGTGAGGCTTCTCAAAGGTCCGTCTGAGCACAAAGTGGACATGGCACCCTATTCTGAATTTCGCGACCAGAAACGTACAGCTCAGGGCAGTCTGAGTCTGTATGCCATGATCTATGTCTTGGATGGTGATCATTCTACACAGCGGGCATCGCTCGAAGTGCACCTCCAGGGCATGGGCAGCCTGGAATCCAGTCTGAAGTTCAGTCAGTGCATTTCAAAGCTCCACCGCAGCGTCGCGCTGCTCAGCAAAGGCTCGACGGGCACGGTCGTATTCCTGCATTCGCCTTTGGAGCTCTCCATGCATCACTGAGAGGACGTTGGAGTTGCGCATCACTGCATCGCGCTCCCTTCAACCGTCACTTGTCGGCCTTCAGCTTCGGCCAAGTCTCGCTCCAGCAAGGCGATCTGGCAACCAGCTGATAGTCCAGCTCAACCAATCGACGAACTGATCGTCGAAGTGCAAACCAGAGGGTCAAAATGACCAGTGCCAGAAAAAGTAGCAATAGAAACCTGTTAGAACCCGTTTCATCTGCAGAAAAACCAGGTGTGCAAACATCTGTACCTTGTGCCAGGGGGATGTTCTCCATTCCAAGAACTGCAGCCAGAAAGCCAGTGTCTTGAACACAAACTTTTCGAGGAGCGTGTGCACATTCACAGCAGCGCTATGGCTTGCGCGCCGGGCGTTGACATACTTGACAACTGCAAAGGACTGCGCGTAGGCAGACATTCTCAGAAACCTTGGCATTCTGTGGCACCAAGTCATACTGCTCTTCATTCATCTTGAACTCTTCATCGGCAAAGAGCTCAGCAGTCAGATCTCCCTCCGCAGGAATCAAGTCATTCTCAGGGGCTTTGGCATTCTCAGGTTGGAAGTCATTCTTTGGCTTCTTGGCATTCTTTGAAAGCTTCTGCTTGCGAGTCTTCGTTGAAGATTCCAGCTCTTCACGTTTCTCTTCTAAGGTTTTCTTCTTTGCAGCTACATAGCCAGGGTCGTAAAGGAACTTAAATCCTCGCGTGGCGAAGTTTGTCAGCCAGGGTTTGCCTCGTGCTATAGCCTTCGTGAGACCGTCGGCAAGTTGCCGGTCACTCGACACCCCTCGCATGGTGCCACCCAAGGAACCGATCTGTTCCTTGACCACTCGGATCTCAAGGCTCGACCTCCGGTCAGTCACGTTGGAGATCAGGGACTCACGGTGGTATAAGTCCTACAAGGCCTTGGCATCGGTGATCATCACAGGGCTCAGCACTGAGCGGGCTTGAAGAAGTTCAGCCAGGCTCCAGTCAGGATGCCTCAGGTGCTCAAAGTAGCGGCAGGCAAACTCAGTGGCATCGCTGGCACAACCAGCGGCTTGTGCTTCTGCTGACAAACTGCTCCGGGCCACTCGTGGCAAACGAAACGATGTCAAGTCCAAGATATGGTATATGTATCTTCTCCAGACTCCAAAACATGGCTGTTGGCCAACACCACAAAGTAATCTCCTTGAGAGGACCCATCAGATCGTGAACAAAAACCCGCGTCAAAGGCAGTGATCATTCGGAGCTGGTCGAGAACATCAGTGTTCGCCTTGGCAAACTTGAGCAAACGGTTTGCTTCAGCAGCAGTTCCAACCTGATTTGCAGGTAGGTAGATGGATGGATGGATAATATATAGTTGAGAATGCACCCTACTTTCCATGAAAACTTGTTTTGAAACTTTACCAATATATACAGGTATATTTAAGAGTATATATATATATATATGCAAACACATACACACATACACCTATGTTTCAATGTGGGCTTTCACCAACCTTTTCTGTTTTGCAACACCCCCCCAGAGTCTTCTACCTGCAGCTGTTTCTCAGCTAGAGCTAGGTTACACACCACCATGTCGCCTACACATGTCAGGAACACAGTCCAGCCACAAGTGTGATTTTTCACACACTCAACTTTTCACAGACTCCAGTTTTCACAAACTACACTTTTCACAGACTCCACTTC